TTTTTTTTTTTAATGGAGTAGTCCCATCATGTGTTTCTTTTCTTTTATTACTTTGAGACTTACTATTGTGTGTACAGTCTGACCTTTGTTTTGCCTGCTTTTTACATTCCTCCTGTCTATATCTCCTTTTTCCTGTATTTTATTTGTGGCAGGGTAGCTAATAAAAATTCTTGTTGAAATGCAGCCCTTTTGGGAGGAGGTGTTGGAAAAGCAAATTTGCAAGTGTCCAACCTCTTAGACTCCGTCCGCTTCAGTCGGCAGCTCAACCTAGTGCAATAATAACCCATGCCTCAAATAGAAGAATGAGGTGTGGAATAAGAAACTATAGATAGCTTCTCTGATAAGGACCACAGATCATTTAGCATGGAAAAAGCACTTTGCTTGCTTCTTTTACAGTTACAACACCACTAACAAACTGCTGTTGCTCCCATCACCAGTTTCCAACTGCTTTCCTTACAGAAGGACTTTCAAAATTCTTAGCGGACTTCCTAGAGCTTCAGGCATGAAAAGTTTGTTTCCTCAGAATTGTAGTTTTACTGTTTTGCATGTCAGTAGTCTTCTGGGGAGATGAGAAAACCAGTATTGGTCTGTGTGACTTGCGGTGGAAATAGGCTCTTTAATCCATTGAACTCTGATTTTGCTTACTGTGTTCTGGGATGTTATTCATATACAAATACACTTTGAGTAATCTCTAGTTCTCAGTTCTTTATTTGTTCCTATTTCTACTGTTTAGTATACAATACCTTTACCTTTCCGTGTGAGGTTTGTGCCACTGTAATAGAGTGGTACTGAGTGAAGAGAGTAGCATTTCCTTTCTCTCTTAATTGACTAAAAATTCAAAGTGAATAAGAGTGTCTGCCTCTTGCTGTAAAGCCTTAATTTGGGATTAAATGGAGAGAAAGAAAAGGTGAAATTCAAGAAATTAGTTCTTGTTCAGAAGAAGGGGAATTCCTTGAATTTTACTTACGTAAAGTTTTCTCAAAACAACACTTAACTGTATGAGAACAATTCTGGTTTCATCCCACAGTGCAGTGTCTCGCTGTTAGGCAAACTGTGACAGATAAGCTTTCACTCCCCTGCGGCTCCATTTCTTCTTAATCCTCTGAGCAGGGAAGGGGGTACATTTTTCAGAAAGCCCAATGACCTTCCAGTTCACTGCCTTATTGATAGCTCACACTGTATTTATTTAACCTTTTCTTCACTACTCTCTGCTTTTGGATATTTTCTTCTAATATTTCCTTAGTGTCATTATTTCCAGATGTAAGATGTGCAGTTTCCAATTTTCCCAGTGCTAACTGCGCTGTGTTATGGACAAGAGCTGTGTCTTGGTCTTAAGCAAAATATGATATGTCACTGTAAATTATATCCTTGACTGTTGGCACACTCAATGTGTGCTCTATTGCTAATGGCCTGGAGTAATACTGAGCCTTTAAAAATAAATGCCTCTGAAGTGGAAAGTTTCTCTGATTATTTATGCAAATAAAAATCTTAGTGCTCAAACTGAATCTCAAAGGGGTTTTTTTTGTTTTGTTTTTATTCAGGAATCGACGTATATTTGGCTTGTTGATGGGCACTCTTCAGAAATTTAAGCAGGAGTCCACAGTTGCTACTGAAAGGGTACTTATTTTTACTTCATTAAGATTGTAAATAATAAAGAAATATTGTGTGCTTAAGCTGCCTCAAATAGGAATGAAAATTCCCCATGGTGTAGGGTGCAGGTGCAACAAACTGGTGAGAGTGCATGTAGGGTTTGGTTTAGTTCAGTGGAATTAGGTTGGAGGCAGGAAAGGGACTCTTAACAATTTCATCATTTCTCAATGCTATTTCTGAACATTGCAGAAGTGAAAAGGCAATGTTTTGTTGTTTTTTTTAATTGCTGTACATTTTTAAAACATGTAAAACACAGATTATCTTTCTTGTTTACATTATTTGGGGATCATTTCAAAGTAAATGGAATTTAATCAGGTAACTATTTAATAGGTCATAAGCTACTTCTGTAAATAATGGTGATTCAGTATTGCTGAAGCAGTGCCCACCCTGATGTGTTCCAGGGTGTTTAAATTGTTTAAATTACAACCAAGTGCACAGAAATGTTTGGTTATATTATGCTGTTTGACTTTTAATAGGTCATAAGCTACTTCTGTAAATAATGGTGATTCAGTATTGCTGAAGCAGTGCCCACCCTGATGTGTTCCAGATGTTTAAATTATAACCAAGTGCACAGAAATGTTTGGTTGTATTATGCTGTTTGACTACAGATATAGATCTATATCTTGTATAAATAACAAGAATTCCTGTTTTTAATAAATTGATACGGGATTGTACTGAAGTCAAGGCTTTGTATAACTAGTGGTAACTTCAAAAAAACTTGTGCATAGGATGATGGTAACTTTTATTGTTAGTATGCCCTTTTAAATTGTGGAGGGTGTGGTATTTGTTTACTGTTGCCCTAAATGGGTTATTCAGTTAATATTAAGAACCTTTGATTAAAAACGGTGTTTGAAAGTTCTACTTTCAACAGTCTTGTGGAAGCAGATAAGTCTTTAAACTTAAAACATTTTCTGTGCAGTGTTAGCATAGCTAGCTTGCAGTATTGGTATTGATTACTTTCAGATTCAGTATTTGGATATCCTGCTGTTTTATCTAAATTGTCATGTAGCACATGAGAAAGGACCAAAGTTCTCTGTTGCCTGCTTGCCTTCAGAACAAGAAACTATTGATTAGGATTATCTAGAAACATGAAATCCTTGCCTAATTTATAGCAGTATGTGTTTGCATAAAGAGACTTTGAGGAGTTACTGCTCTTTGCATCATTTTTCTGAGAATTTGTATAGTTCTCTTCATACATAAAAACTTACTATAAATCAAAATAGAGGCCTGAGGGGTTTTGATACAGCTATTTTGTTGTCCAGACACTAAACTGTATTTATCTAGAAACATGAAATCCTTGCCTAATTTATAGCAGTATGTGTTTGCATAAAGAGACTTTGAGGAGTTACTGCTCTTTGCATCATTTTTCTGAGAATTTGTATAGTTCTCTTCATACATAAAAACTTACTATAAATCAAAATAGAGGCCTGAGGGGTTTTGATACAGCTATTTTGTTGTCCAGACACTAAACTGTATTTTTTTTTTACTCAACAGCTAGTGTACAATCTGAGCATATGGCTGTCTAGGACATACAGACAGGGCATT